CATGATTATTACTTTCTTCCATAATTTCTACTGAGGAAAATAAACTTCAGTGTTGGTCTTAGTTACAATACACCATTTTTTAACTATCTTAGCAAATATTTGCTGGCTTTATGATTAAATAGGTGTTTTTGAAACTTGTTTGCGAGTGATTTTAAGCCTTATGCTGTTAGGGGATTTCAGAAGGTGGTTTGTTTTTTTTTTTCAATACCTCTGCTTTCTATTTAAACTACAATTTTTGTATATATTCCTTGATTTTCCAACTCTCAAGGCAAGCTGGTAGCAAAACTTACTAATAAGTCATAGCACCTGCATAGCACTACCTTCCTGCATTACAGATTTTGAACTCCTGTCCTTCATTTAAATGTTGCTAAGTGAAGCTGTACTTAGGTTGTTTTCCATATAATAGTGTATGTATAGTATGCAGGTATAGCTTTCAAACAAAAAGTAAAATGTAACCCAGAAAGCAGGATGACAATTCCAGTAGGTGGTGAATGGATACTCTGTATTCAAGTCTACACTTTCACTAGAGAGATTCCATTTTAGTTGAACATTTTCATTAACTTCACAGTCAAGATGTTGAGATTTAAGACACCTGACCAGAACTTGTAAATTATTTTAGTGTTGATGTCAGGTCTAATTTAAGCATGTTTAGTTGGAGCAGTGGACCTGCACCACCACATAATTGAGTGCTAATTAATATATTTGGTCAGTAAATTTAGTATCATTGCACTCTGCAGAGTGCAGCATAGCCTTACCCTTACAACACCTGCTAAAACCTCTTCATTAAACATTGTGTCCAGCCAGACCTCTAACACATTTAAGTTCAACTTGGCTTTAGTATGTTCTCCCCAGCCTGATGTGAGCTCTTATAGGCTCATCCTGAAGGCTCTGCTTAGTGACTGGGAGCCTTGAGAGGGGAAAAGAAATCTTATGGTACTGTGGAAAAAAAGTACTGGTTTTAGAGTTGGTTATTTTAATGCTTGATGTGCAAAGAGATTCCAATGTATCAATGGTTGGACAAGAACTGCTGGGTTCTGGCTTAGAACGTGGTTTGATGATGCCTGTTGACCAGAATCTAGATTTCTGCTACTATTCTAAGTGCACTTCCATGCAGTTCCCACAAAACGTTTAAGGAGCAGTTAGAAGCTTCCAGGCAACTACTTTGTCATGTTTTTGACTTTTGAAGACAAGTTATAAATTAAATGACCTCTATTTGTAAAATCCTATCTTTGTGTCAACTCTTGTTATTTCTTCCCCATGGTCCCTCCCTTTTGGTTCAGCACCTCCCTAAAAACACTTCTTGCCAGCTGTGTAATGCTGCAGGGAGCACAGCAGAGACAGAAGTGCAGAGACCAGCTTTTGGCTTCCATTACATATCTTGTACTAATTAGCTGCAACTTTATCACCTTTCAAACAGTAGACTGTGCAGGTTATGAGAAATGGTTTGGATCAAGCTCAGAGCAAGGTCTGCTAGAGCAGGCCAGAACACTGTAGGTGCAGTCCTGTCTGAGTACTCCTGTGAGTGCTGAAAACAAACACCACCAGCACTTTCTTGTTGAATTGTGTACTTGTGACTGTTCAACAGGGCTTTTCTGTGGAAAATCCTTAGAGCTCCCACAGCTTTAACTCCTCTGGCTGTCAAGTTTGTGATGTCTACATCCTTGTGTTGCCCTCGGTTTAGGAAGCTCCAATTTAGGAGGTAAAGGCTTGTGGCAGTGATGGGTCAGAAATTGCTTGATGGTACCATGTCTGTGCAGTCCCATTCTCTGGTTATACAACTCTGATTTGATTTGCATCAATGTATTACTTGCTAATTACTTCACAGAAGGTACAGACCAAGAATATTGGCTGTAAAATGCATGCTCGTTCAGCTTTGATTACTTTAGAGTGTGAGAAAGAAGCCACGTCCTGGCACCTGCTCGCTCGGTGATGGCAGAATTCACAGCACTGGGAGCATCCAAAGAACTGCTCAGAGATAAACCCAGCCATGGATTGCCACTTAACTCCAGCTGCTGGAGACCTTTGTGTCTCTATGCCACTGACTCCATCAACTTCACACATCCAAGCATGTTGCACACAGTGTCATATGTCTTTAGTGATGTTTGCTGGTTGATTTTAAAAGACATTCTGTTGTGAGGTGAGTGTGTTCAAAGGCCTTGATTCATCTCATTTGTGTGCAGGAACTTCTGATGAAAAAAAGCCTTATTATAGAATGAGGTCGTCTGGGCTTCTAAATCCAGTGGAGTGTTACTGCAGAAGGGTGAGGTGCTCTGTCAGAGCTGCTCTCACCTCATCAGCAGCTGATCCTGCAGCAGCAGCAAAACCCAACTGCCCATTGTTGGTAATGATGCAATCGGGCCTCCTCGGGACCTGTGAAATTCCCGGTGTCTGGCACAAGGAGTCAGCCTAAGGAGGACGATCAGTGAAGAGGGAGAGGGACAGAATGGGAGGAGACCAGCTTGTAGTCGAACTTGTTTTTTAAATTAATCTGTCTCTGGTCAAAGACCAGATAGGTCTGATAAATTGTTGTCGACATGAATTGCCTAAGACAAAGGCATTGCAGCAGTAAATCCCCCTGGTCTCCTTACTCTGGGGAGATGAGATCTTGTAAAGGATTCCATCTATAGTAAAGCATTAATGGTATATTCTGGGTGTCACCTGATTGACAAAGACACAGCAAATTTGCTCTCAGGCCTCTGGATGGTCACAGGTAAAACCGGCATAAGAAGGATTAATCTCTCACACAATACCAAGCCTGTATTAAGTCATGGCAAAGCAGATGAGGCATGTCCTCACAGACCTGAAACTTTTCTTTCTTTTAAATATACTAAAAACGACAATGAGACTTTTGCTTCTTTTGGGGGTGCATTTTTGTTTGTTTTTTTATAGCACAGTTTCCTGTCACAGTTGCTTTGGTCTATGCTTCATTCTTCAAAAGCAACTCTCTTCTAGTCGAACTCACATTCGTTTTTGACTCAGACGCTGTGCTTTAGGAAAAATTACGAAGCGGAGTTTTTGGGAGACGAGTTAGTATCCCCATGCAGAGAAGTTCTCTTCCATAACCTGCGCCTAGGGGGAACCAACTCCGGACGCTGCTGCAGCAGAGGCTGGCTCGGCCTGCGCCGACAGCAGAGGGAGGTCTTGCATTTTGGAGAGAACAGGGCTCGCACTTCCCAGCCCTGTGCTAGTCTCTGTCCTCTTCCCCCGAGCTTGGGGGCCGGCGGTGGCTTTCACGGAGCTGCTCCCTCCTTGCAGGGAGGGTGCACAAGTCATCCCCATACTCCATGGCCAGAAATTCCCTTCGTCCCACCGCTGTCTCCCTTAGCAGCAGGAGCTTTGCTCGGCAGCAGGATATTTGAGATGCTTCATATAACTGTGGGGCCAAAGAAGGTAAAAAGAAGGATTTGCAGCAGTTTGCTGCTCTGGAACTGTTTGGCCTCCAAGCTTCTCAGGCCAGTCCGTGTGGTTCTGGCTGGAGCTGTGCCATGGGCTGGTGGCAGGGCTGCTCTGCCCACCCCGCGGCTCAGCAGCTGCCAGAGCCCAGTGCTGATGGGTGAGCCTGGTGCAGGGTGGGATGGCAGAGAAACCACTGCCATTTCCAGCCCATGAATCACTGAGGAGCAATCCTGCCCTGTCCCGTAGCTGGCTGGCTCCTGGGCACAGGTAGGTCAGGTCACTTTCCCTTGATCTCGATTTTTCCTCTAGCACACGCAAAATTATTATTTTTTTCCACACGCAGTGGTTGGAACAGATCTGATTATCAACATTTCAGAAAGAACAGAGGAGCAGGCTTTGCTTCTTGAAAGAAAACCGCAGAGTCGGGTTCCTCGTACAAGTGTCCCCAGTGTAACCACATCCGCGGCAGGTG